AAGCCCGGCTGGCGGGCAAGGAGCTGCGCTTCCACAAGGAGAAGAAAGACATCCTGATGCTGGCTGCTGGGCAGCTGGGCAACATGCACTCTTCCAACTGCTAGGCCCTGCCCGCGTGGCTCCCATCCCCTCCAGGCCCCTTTTAATGTGTCCTTTCCGAGATTTCCTATGGTTTCTGTACATACTTGCCCAATTTTATACTTTAAAAATATACATATGCACATATATACATACCTAGGTATGTATAAATTCTGCACCTGGATCCCTTTTTGCCAAGAGACCTCTTTTCTTCTAGTTTTTTGATGGACTTTCATTTGAAACATCTCCACTCCACTTTACAAGAAGAGCAGGCTGCCTTTGGAGCTTTGCTGGCTTTGACACTCCCAGAAATTCTGTGTCATTTCAGTAGCACAAGATTAACTGTTCATGTCTCCTTCTTCTACAATAACAGGGAGCTTGAGTAGGACTCTGTCCCCCCGCCCCATGCCTGCTTTCTCTTAGACTCAAAGAGGTTATGAATATGAAGCCTTCAGCTTTGGTTTATCTTGAGCTGGGCCTACTCGGTACCAAGTTGTTCCTCCAGTAATGACATCCCCTAACCTACACCATGCCTCTTCACCACTACCTTACTCCCCCTGACTCCAGTTGGTACAAGGTAGGAACTGGAGATCTGGCTTCTCAGTTTTAAAGTCATTCCTGAGAAAGTGCCGAGGAACGAGAGAGAAATTATAAACACAATTCACAAGGGTTTGTCACCTTTGGCTTCTGGGCCATTGAAACCATACCATAGTCCGGATTGCTGGATGTAGTCTACATTACAGAAGGAATCAGGGTTGGAGTTGCTTATCTTTCAATATTCCCTTTCACTCCTGCTCCCCGGCCCCCCTAGCTTAGTTAAGCCCCATATTTAACCTTCCTGCCTGCAGAGATTGGTAGAAGGCAAAACATGTTTCCCTCCTCACTCTCCTGCCATCATTTCGCTCTTTGGAAAGATTATCTGTTCTATTTGATGAGGGCCAAGTTCCTCTCACTGCCGCAAAGTTGCTGCTGTCTACTACCTTAGATGTTCATACCTTAGATTCAGAATTGTTTTGTTTTCTTCCCTCTTTCTCCACATTGATTATTAGAGCATGAATTGATCAGGTAAATTAGATGACACGTTAGCATTATGGCACTTCCTAAATGGAATGTTGGGAGACTGCAGGAAGGGAAAGAGAATCAATGATCAGCTATTTGCTTTTTTAATACTGTTCTCTTCCCCACCACTCTCCTGGGTGGAACAGGAGAGGAATGATCTGGAGTGCAGGTAAGACACTCACCTTTGGGAGAATTTTTTGTAGGTCTCTCTCAGATATATCCCCCCTTGTTTCTGTAGTCTCCTTTGTGCAATATTATAGCTCAGTGCGCTTTCTAAGCTGAGCTTGGGAAGTGTAATGTTTCCACAATTTGACTTTCCATTCAATGATTATACACTTTGCTTTCAGAAATAGGCTAGGAGACAGGCCACAGACATTCTCTTTTGGATCAGATAGGGACAAGAGGAAAGCGAGCTTTCTCTCTTTTGAAACCATTTATGGGATCAAAGGTATGGTGTCGAGCAACACATGTACCAATGCATGAAAGGGACTTCCTTGAATTCTCCAAGCCCCTTCTCTGTATTCCACGAAATACATGTAGGGTTGGTGCAGACGCTCCTGCGTTCAGCAACAGGTGTGTCTATTCAGTTTTTACTGATATTTATAATCCAGAAATCATAAACCTTCATTTCTACGCTCCTTTCTCTGGGAAGTGTCAAGGGGTGTGAGTTGTGGGAAGAACTTATCTTTGCACCTCCTGGATTTACTATTTTTATCTAATACCAACCAGTAAGATCCCGAAGAACTTGAGAAAAATTGTTCCCTGATCTGTACACTTTTGGTGTTAAAGATTTTACTTACCTTTTTAGTACTTTCTATGTATTTTATATGTATAATTTTATACAATTAAAATAGTTTTTTGTCTAGTGTGCCAGATTGACTCTTTAAGACTTTTGTATCAGAGGAGTTATCAAATGACCCTTTCTTTTACATATATGAAAACATAATTTTTATTAGTATTTTTGGGGTGGTAGAGATAAGATTGCACTGCTGGGGGGAAGCATCCTGCCTCCCCTTCTCTAGACATTTGAGAAGCCTGGATTTTGTTCTTAGTTCTTTCTCCTAAAGCTCTACCCAGTTCCACTTGCAATCTCACCCACTATGGTGGTCTAAACTCTATCATACAAACAATTCTCAAATCTGTTTCTTCTACCCCAACCTGTTTTGAGCTCTTATATCTATACTAGAGGCCCAGTGCACAAAAATTTGTGCACTCGGGGGGTAGGGGGGTCCCTCAGCCCAGCCTGTGCCCTCTCGCAATCTGGGACCCCTCGGGGGATGACCATCTGCTGTCTTAGGCCTGCTCCCCAGGGGATTAGGCCTAAGATGGCAATCAGACATCCCTCTGGCAGCCTGGCAGCCCTCAGGGGAGGTCCACTTGCCAGCGGGAAGCAGACCTAAGCTGCAGTCAGACATCCTTAGCACTGCTGAGGAGGCAGGAGAGGCTCCCAGCACCACCGCTATACTGGCAGCCATCAGCCTGGCTTGTGGCTGAGCAGAGCTCCCCCATGTGAGAGTGCACTGACCACCAGAGGGTAGCTCCTGCATTGAGCATCTGCCCCCTGGTGGTCAGTGTGTGTCATAGGGACCAGTCATTCCCAGTCTTTCTGCTGTTAGGGTCAGTTTGCATATTACCCTTTTACTATATAGGATAGAGGCCTGGTGCACGGGTGGGGGCCGGCTGGTTTGCCCTGAAGGGTGTCCCAGATCAGGGTGGGGGTCCCGCTGGGGTGCCTGGCCAGCCTGGGTGAGGGGCTGAGGGCCGTTTTCAGGCTGGCGGGCAACTGAAGCTCCCAGCCTCTCCTTTTTTTCTTTTTTTTTATTCTGGGATTTATTTACCTTCTATAATTGAAACATTGTTGCCGTCACTGGCGCTCCCAGCTCTGAGGCCATGGCTGCCAGCTGAAAGCAGGTATCTGGGGTTTGTTTAGCTTCTATAATTGAAATATTGTTGCTTTCAGGCTCAGAGCCAGGCCGCAGCAGGTGGCTAACCTTGGCTTCCTCAATCACTGGAGCAAGCAAGCCTCCTGCTTGCTTCAGCTGAGTGGCTGCCGGCTGCCATCTTTGTTGGCAGTTAATTAGCATATCGCCCTGATTAGCCAATGGGAAGCGTAGCGGAGGTATGGTTAATTAGCCTTTTTATCTTTTATTAGATAGGATTTCCATATGTTGACATCACCACCTGAATATGACACAAGTTCTTTGAACTCATATATTCAAAATAAACCCATTTTCCATACATGCGCCTCTCTGAGGCCCCAGATCAAGACAACACTCCAACCAACTGAGCTACCCAGCCAGGCTCTGCCTTCACTCCTGACACCCTCCACGCTGCTGTCGCGTTTCTTTCTAGAATCCTTAATGACTGTGATTCTCTTCCTGGGACATGTGAGAAGCAGTTCTGTCTTTGTTTGCTTTGGCCTATGAGGCATCTGGAAGCCACTGAAGAATCCCATGGAGAGAGGTGAAGTCAAACAGATCTCTTGTATCTTCCCTAAAAACTGGCATTGTGAGGTCGAAACGGCTGAGTTCAAACAGATGTCCTCTCTTACGTGGACTCGCCTACCCCTGTTCCACTTTGTGATAGCAATTACCACTTCTATCTGGAATTATAAAGTGATTGTTGATGATATAATTAGTTTTCCTTGTATTGCCAGCATCACCTCTAGTATTAGACACAGATAAGCATTCAAAATTGTTTGACTAAAAAATAAGAAAAAAATTAATAAGTGAATCTTCAGTCCACTATTGTTTAAGGCCTACATCGAGATTCCAGGATTTGGGGACAATATGGGTTTTGTCTCACTCCGAGGTTTTTTTGTTTGTTTTAGTTAAAGGCATTTTTAAAAAGATACTGATTTGAGACAGAGAAACAACCGACTTGTTGTTCCACTTATTTCTGCATTCATTGGTTAATTCTTGTATGTGCCCAGGCCCGGATGAACCCGCAACCTTGGCATATGGGGTTAATCAACTGAGCTACCCGTCCAGATCTCAACTCCTAGCTTTTTGTTGTCGTTGTTGTTTTTAAATTGATTTGAGAGAGAGAGGTGGGGAGAGGGAGAGAGAGATAGAAACATTTATGATGAGAGAGAATCATTGATCGGCTGCCTCCTACTGGGGCTGGAGCTGCAACTAGGCAGGTGCCGGCCCCTGAATCCAACCCTGACCTCATGGTTCATGGGTTGACGCTCAACCACCGAGCGGCACCAGCTGGGCTCAACTCCTAGGTTGTTAAAAGCGAAAAACCCGCCATATCCCCCAAGAAGCTAAAGCCCCTATTTTGTTTAAAGCCGTGATCTTTTATTAATTCCCCGAGGTGGTGGGGAACGTTGGGGATTCGCCTTAAAAAGAAAAAAGGTTGGTATCTGTCTCACCAAAAGAGCTGCACAACCAGGTCTGTTAGTTTCTTGAAGAGAGAAATTCGTGCCCAGTGCGAGCCAGCGTTGCAGACCGAACTTTTTTCTTTTTAATGCTCACATCACAGATCCGGCTGCTCCTCGGAACAGGGCAAAGGCCTGGAAGTTTTGAAAGAAAAAAACTTTCAACTTCCATTTTCTAGTATGAGTGAGAGAAGGCAACCCTCCACTACAGAAATCACGCTGGGCTCCCCGGCCAGCAGCTTTTCTCCTCCGTGGCCGCGGATAAGAGGAAGCCATTGATTCGCGGCCGGCGCGTCCCCGCCCAGGGGCGGCATTCAGCTCGCGACCTGCTCGAGACAGGAGCACTTCCGGCTTCCGACCTGCTCAAGATGGCGACATGGGCACTTCCGGCTCTTCCCGGACTAGGCCCGCCCCCACGTGCGTATTTACACCGCGTCTAGGGCGGGACTTAGAGAAAGCTTTTGATTGGTCAGCTGGACTGGTGACCTTTCCCCTCCGCGACAGCTTCCCGGGGGCGCTTAAAGCCTGAGCGCTTAGATCCTGAGCGGCACGGACGCGGGTTACAGGGAGGCAAGATGGCGGACGTGCTGGATCTTCACGAGGCCGGCGGCGAGGATTTCGCCATGGATGAGGATGGGGACGGTGAGGACAGTGGAGGCGGCTGCGGGAAGCGGGGAAGGTGCGAAGGAAGGACGTAATAGGGCAACCGTCCCCCTTCCTCCCGGCGGGGAGGCGGGAGCGGGGCAACGGGCTGCCGGGCCTGCAGACCCCGCCCCCGGTGGCGGCGTGGGGCGGGGCTAGAAGGGACAGGGGGTGGTGGGGTCCGCGCTCATAATGTCTGGGGAAAGAGGCTGTTCTACATGTTACCTTTGGCACTTATTCTTTCACTTTTGGGGTTCCAGAGAGCATCCACAAACTGAAAGAAAAGGCGAAGAAGCGGAAGGGCCGCGGCTTTGGCTCCGGTGAGTGTGAAGAAAATGGGGTCCTGGGGGACAGTGGGAAAGGGGGGCCTTCCGGTGATCTCGGGTGTGTTCCCTAGAAGAGGGCTCTCGAGCGCGGATGCGGGAGGATTACGACAGCGTGGAGCAGGATGGCGACGAGCCGGGCCCGCAGCGCTGTGAGTAGCGGACCTGTGGGCGGCGTGTCTGCAGGGAGCTGGGGGACGTGGAGGCAAACCCGCGGGAAAGGGCCGAGGTCCTCTTGCAGCGGTTCTCAACCTGTGGGTCGCGACCCCTTTGGCGGTCGGACGACCCTTTCACAGGGGTCGCCTAAGACCATCCTGCATATCAGATATTTACATGACGATTCATCACAGCAGCATTACAGTGATGAAGTAGCAACGAGAATAATTTTATGGTTGGGTCACAACATGAGGAACTGTATTTAAAGGGCCAGAAGGTTGAGAACCACTGTAAGCCTTTCTCCCTGTGCTCACCGCCCTCCCTTCCCCTCCCGCAGCTGTTGAAGGCTGGATTCTCTTTGTCACCGGGGTCCACGAGGAAGCCACGGAGGAAGACATCCATGACAAATTCGCAGAGTATGGGGAAATTAAAAACATCCACCTCAACCTGGACAGGCGCACGGGGTACCTGAAGGTACTGAGTTACACTCCTTGCCTCCCCCCATCACCCTGAGCAGGGGCAGATATCCCCCGTCGCGCTGGTCGGCCAGGAGCAAAGTTGAAATCAAATGACATTGGAAATGGAGTTTGTTGGACGCAGCGGAGACAGGAGCCGAGGAACCTGTGGGGTGTACAGCAGGGATGTGTGATGCACGTTGTTTACAGTTGATAGGACAGGGCTTGGTGGGACAGGGTTTTGATCGCCGTCTTTCGCTTGCCCTAGGGGTATACTCTGGTTGAGTATGAAACATACAAGGAGGCCCAGGCTGCGATGGAGGGACTCAACGGCCAGGATCTGATGGGACAGCCGATCAGCGTGGACTGGTGTTTTGTTCGGGGTCCACCCAAGGGCAAGAGGAGGTAAGGTGGAGGGGCAGACACTGCCTTGGTGAAGGGAATATGAGCGAAACAGAGAAAGGACATTGCAGGTCCCTCTGACGGACCTCCCCCCCCCCCCCCATCACCCCCAACAACACCCTTCCTTTCCCTTTTCCTAGGGGTGGCCGGCGGCGCAGCAGGAGTCCAGACCGGAGGCGACGCTGACAGGTCCTCTGCTGGCCAGGTGTTCCCTGCAGAGATTCCATGTGACCACACAGCCTTGGAGAAGTGGGGCCCGGGTGGAACTTGCTGTTTATATTTAATCCTTTACCCTCTTAGTGTTTTGGAACTTGGGGGGGTGGGGGGGTTGCGTTATAAATAAATGTCCCATTTTTGTTTTCTACATTTAAAATTATTTTCTTGCTCTAACCTTGCAAGCTCTGCAGTGCTCTTTACCGTAGGCAGTGTGGGACACTGAAGGCACTTCTCCCAGGACCTGAATTCAGTGAGTTTCTACATGAGACATAGTCCCAGTCCCAACGAGTCAAAGTAGAAACACTGCTCAAGGTATTTCATTGTCTTGGGAGCTAAGAGCAGGGGTAGGAGTGAGATGTTTTCAGGATATTAACGAATAATTATTCTGTTCCTGTATACTCTGTCCTGAGCAAATGGGTGTTACGGGAATGTTTTCTTTGTTTCTCCTGCCTGTACTGCTACATTTGTTTGTACCTCCAGCTGCTGAAGGGCTTAAATCTCCTGTGGGGCATTCTCCCAGACTCTCTTTCCCTAAAGGAGTCTATACACAGTTCTTGGTGCCCACTTTGGCAGCCAAGGGTGAAGGCCCCTTGGAGATGACCCAGAGGAGCACTGATGAGGCCGAAGAGAAGAGGAGGAGGCTGGGAGGAACTCCAGTTAGCATCGTGGGAGAGAACCAGCGAGTAGTGTGTCCGGCAGAGGACAGAGGTCAGCAGAGTCAGCAGGGCTGGTCACAGGTGCACAGACACGGGGTGATTGTCTGAGGAGCGGCGGAGGGCCAATTCGCTGGTCGGTTTGGGATTTAGAAAACACAGTGCCGTTCAGAACCACTCAGCTCCGACCTGGGTACAGGGTGAGTTGATGGGTGGGCAGTGAGGTGGCGCTCTCCCCTACAAGGAAGAGAATGCGCCAACCCTCTTCTTTGAAACTTGGGACTGTGTGCTCCTTTCCCCCATGGATTATGACAGACATGCTGGAGAAAAGTTTGGGTGGGGTTTTTTTTATTATTATTTCCTATTTTTATTGATTTCAGAGAGAAAGGGAGAGGGAGAGCGAGGAAAACATTGATCGGCTGCCTCCTACACACCCCCTACTGGAGATAGAGGCTGCAACCCAGGCTTGTGCCCTGACCGGGAATTAAACTGTGACCTGGTTCATAGGTCGACACGCAACCACTGAGCCACACTGGTGGGCAAGGTTTGCTTGAGGTGTTGTGCTGTGTGAAGCTACTAAGTCTACTTTAAGACATCATGGTGTCCCAAGTGTAAAGGAGAATAGTGATCACGTTTCTCCTTAATCCTTGTCCACCTAACTCAAGTTCAGATGATGGCTAGAGGTTGGTTAGAATTGGAGGCCTTCAAGGAAATTATCTGCAGCATCAGGTACTAGAAATACAGTTAGAATCTCACTTTTGGCTTGATAAGTAGCTATCAGGTAAATGAGACCAGAGGCAGTTGTTTGAGGATATGCATGAGAGCCTGGGGATTGAGGTCTCACTTTCCTTGTCTGGGTGATAGCAGGTGGTCATGGCAGTCAGTGGCACAGAATGGGCAGCAGAAGAAGAGGTTATAGGTACTCCCTTGCCATTGAGCCTTGAAGCTGCCTTTGGTAACACAGAGTGAAGGGGCCTGGGCCAGCTTGGTGGATGGTATGGAATAGCAACAGCTGAAGTGGGGCTGAGGACCATTAGAACTGGTCCCCTTCCACCTCCCCCAACCTGCCCACCATTGTCACACTTGAATCTATGCAGAACACTACAGTGCTGAGTTGATGGTTCATCCATGGTGCCAATATTTAAAAGGTTAGAAATGTATCTTGAAAATCCCTGGGTCCCCTTAGGCCAGTGATGGCGAACTCATTTTTTTGGTTGATTTTTCTTATTTTTTTATTTTTTATTTTTATTAGTTAAGGTATTACAAATGTGTCCTCATCCCCCCCCCCCTTAGATTTTTCTTTGTTAAATGGCATTTAAATATATAAAATAAATATCAACAAATTTCTATATGTGACCCGGCACCAGAGTTAAGTTAGCGTTTTTCAAAATGCTGACCCACCGAGCTCAAAAGGTTCGCCATCACTGCCTTAGGCTATGGAGCTAACCATTAAGTTTGTTAAATCCTGGGACTTAAAGAATCCTGTCTCTCTTTTTTTTTAATTACTATGCTAAATATTGCACTTTATAAAAGGACCTCTCTACCACCTCACCAACATTTTTAGCTGAAATGATTTTCCTGATGTGTCTGATTAATTCTGTGGGGAAAAAGCTTGTGTAAAATGGGTGTGGCTAAAATTTCAGGCCATTGTGCAACCACTCTGAAGTGACCTTTAGTAATAGACTTTTGTACAGTAACTATAATAGTGAAACAATGTTAAATAATAAAATTTAACATTTTCCAAATGCTCTTGGCTGCCCTTGCCCCTTTTTGGTAAATTGCTGAGTTTTTGGTTTGAATCAGTAAAGAGTATTCTTCAGGTTTGAGCTTCAAGTAAGTTAGTACCTTGGTTCAGGTAAGGTAGATTTGAGTCACACTATTCATTTGGTAAAAGGCAAGCTTTGTAGGTATCAGATTCCTAAATATGAGGCATTTGGAAAATTGATTTCAGCAGGTGGAGGGGCTTTTAGGAAAGGTAGATGGTATCAGCCGTAGACATACAATGGTATGAACTGCTTGGACATTGACTAACGCTGAGCTAGTCGAACATTGGTCTCTCCTCTTGCCCCATCTTGAGTCCATGTAATTCTGGGGGTTTGGAGTTCTGGGGTGTTTTTCTTTGCACTGTGCCTAGAAATACTTGACACTGTGAGAAGTGGCTGAAAAAAAGGTCAGGCTCCTGGACTTCCATTTGATCCATAGTCTTACTTCTGCCTCCTCTCCCTACTTGATATGCAGTTTACCTATAACCTTCCTTTTAACTATTGATACTTGGGAACTTTAGGTTACAGACTAATTTCTAACTACCTGCATAGTCCATCGCACTACCACCACATTTTTTTTTAAGTGGTGTTTTTCCCCCCTGGCTGGGTAGCTCAGTTGGTTAGAGCGTCATCCCAATACGCACACCAGGATTGCGGGTTCAGTCACCAGTCAGGGCACCTGCAGGTGTCAACCAATGAATGCATAAATAAGTGGAATAACAAAATTGATGTTTCCTCTCTTCTCAAATCAATAATAAAAAATTTGTTTTAAATATTTTTTTTTTAAATATATTTTATTGATTTTTTACAGAGAGGAAGGGAGAGAGATAGAGAGTTAGAAACATCAATGGGAGAGAAACATCGATCAGCCGCCTCCTGCACATCTCCTACTGGGGATGTGCCCGCAACCCAGGTACATGCCCTTGACCGGAATCGAACCTGGGACCTTTCAGTCCGCAGGCCGACGCTCTATCCACTGAGCCAAACCGGTCTCGGCTGTTTTAAACATTTTTAACACTGGTATTTTAAATACAACATACAGAATATGTTGTGCAGAGTTACACAAGAGCAGACTATTTTGGAACCAAAAATATCTCACTTTTTGCACATGCATCATGTTACCACCAGTTTGCCATTGAAGCAAATGGAGATTGCAACTATTAATCAGGTCAGGCTGTAAGAAATTATGAAATTCATCTTGTGGCTCATGGGTTTCAAATGATTTAGCCAAAGTCATATAGCTAGTAGTGGTAGAGCCCCTAGACTCAGGAAGAAAAGCAAAACGAAACAAGCAAACAGTGCAACAAAAACAGGCTTCTAACCCCCAAGTCCACACCTAGAATTTACTTCATATGAACAAACCCAACTGTAATTCCTTTTACATGGAGGCAACAAGTTCTTTTTAAATCTTGGGTTTAAGAAGGTTCTACTGCCCTGACCGGTTTGGCTCAGTGGATGGAGTGTCAGCCTGCGGACTGAAAGGTCCCGGGTTCAATTCCAGTCGGGGCATGTACCTTGGTTTCGGCCACATCCCGGGGGGGGGGGGGGGGGGGGCGGGGGGGGGGGTGTGCAGGAGGCAGCTGATCGATGTTTCTCTCTCATCGATGTTTCTAACTCTATCCCTCTCCCTTCCTCTCTGTAAAAAATTAATAAAATTGCCCTAACTGGTTTGGCACAATGGATAGAGCATCAGCCTGCGGACTCAAGGGTCCCAGGTTCGATTCCGGTCAAGGGTGTGTGCCTTGGTTGTGGGCTCATACCCAGTAGGGAGTGTGCAGGAGGCAACTGATTGATGTTTCTAACTCTCTATCCCTCTCCCTTCCTCTCTAAAAAATCAATAAAAAAAAATATATTTAAAAAAATAAAATGTATTAAAAAAAAAAAGGTCCTACTTGCAACATACTATTGGAAGATTTTATATATGTATACATATATGCATATATATGTATATGTTTATAAACTATAGTCAGACTTTTGGCAGTGAAAATTTTTCTTTTTTGGTAGTTATATTTTTAATATTTGAGGCTTTAAGGATGAAATCTTTGACTCTAATGCATTGAATCTGGAACCCTCAGTCTGCAGGTTGACGCTCTGTCCACTGAGCCAAACTGGCTAGCAGTGGTTCTCAACCTTCCTAATGCCGCCACCCTTTAATACAGTTCCTCATGTGGTGACCCCCAACCATAAAATTATGTTCGTTGCTACTTCATAACTGTAATTTTGCTACTGTTATGAATTGTAATGTAAATATCTGATATGCAGGGTGTATTTTCATTGTTCACGACCCACAGGTTGAGAACTGCTGGTAGGGCTTTATGCTTACCTTTAGCATAACATTTGACTGTACACTGTATTATATTAATTTGTCTCCTGCGCTAGTCTATAAATTTCTTGAAGGCAGGACTTCATTGCTCTATCCTTGCTAGAGCAGCGGTCACCAACCTTTCGGACCTCATGGACCACCAGTTGGCAACAGCTGCTCCAAAGGTTTCCTTAAACCAGCAGTCGCCAACCTTTCAGACCTCATGGGCCACCAGTTGGCGACTGCTGTGCTAGAGCATTTAGATGGACCTGAAGATGATGCACGTTATTTTTTTAATTGATGGATGTACCACAAAGTGGTTTTTTTAAATCTTTATTGTTGAAAGTATTGCATATGCCCCCCCTCCCCCCCATCTACCCCTGCCCCAGGCCCTCACCTCTCCACTGTCTGTGACCAGGGGTTGTGCACATTTGCATACAAGGTCTTTGGTTGATTACCTCCCACCCTCTCGCACCTTTCCTCTGAGATTCCGCACTCTGTTCCATGCTTCCATGTCTCTGGATCCACTCCGTTCATCAGTCTATTTTGTTGATTAGATTCCACATATGAGAAAACATGGCACCACAAAGGTTTAGCCAAAACCCCGGCTTCTCTCTTTTCTTAACAGACCCTCCCATATACGTTTCCTCCTGCCCTAGAGTTTCTGCAGCGATCTCCTGAAGCAAGGTGGGAACGGGAGATACAAATGGGGAAACTAAGTGTAGTTAAAGCTGAAGGAAGAGGCGCGGATAAAAGGGTATTGCTTTTAAGAACAGAGATGCCAATTAGCATGCAATGATCTTAGCGTGCGAATATCAGACACTGCCCCCTGAGGATTGATGGCTGACCACCACCAACCACATGACGTGACGCTGAAGGCTCACCTTACGTACCCAAATTCCTGTCCAGTCTAGCCCTGAGTCCAGACAAGTGAGTCGGGGGCAAGGCGAGCAGAAGACACGTCCATAGGCTGCCCCCAGAAGTGCCCTTACAGCTGAGCGGGTGGCGGTCCAGCCCAATGGCCACAGGCAAGAAAGCTGTAGCCTACATGGCCATTAGCTTCGGGAATGAGTGTCCGTATGCGATGTCCCTGGCCAGCCATTGAGCAGTGATAGGCCAGGTGGCATCTGGAGCATAACCACAAAAGCGACCAGTAAATCTAGAGCTGCTAACTGGGCAAATGGGCCCGTACCTGACGGGCGGAGCTGACCGGGTGGCAGCCGTGTCCCCGCAGCACCGCCAGGTTCCCTCCAGCGGAAGAAACAAACAGCACAATGGCCACTCGCACTCGGACCTTGGCTGCCGCCGAGGTGGGCAACTCTGAGCCTTTCATCTCACTCCTAATCCGGCCCAGGTCTCCCCTCCGCCGACCCCAAGGGGTGCCTTGCCTGCAGACGTGGTGACTTGGAAGGGAAAGGGGTGGGCGAGGTGTGGGTTTGAAGGGTTACCCGGCTGCTGCTGTGCTCTGGCGGCACCGGTCTGGATCCTGTAGGGCCCTGGGATCCGGCGCTGGCTCCTACTTCCATAGATTTACTTAGTCCCGGAGCCCTGGATCGACCGGAGCGTGTGCCTGTCGGGGCTGTTCTGACCCTAACCCAGCGGCCGCAGCAGGAGCGCCGCCGCGCCTCTCGCCCCGCCCCCCGCAGGCCCCGCCCCTCCAGCAGGCCCCGCCCCCTTCCCGAATAGTTAAAGCGGAATGTGCGGCTGAGGGCGAGCGGGGAAACTGACCTTCTGAAGAGGCGGCTTAGGAACTGAGTCGCGCGCACCGAGACCCAGAGGCGAGCACTTCTCGGAAAGGCCGCCTCCGGGGCGGGCTCCACCGCCTTCGGTCCTGACGACGTTTGTCCCTCGCGAGGCCCCGTTGAGCGGCCGGGAGGCGGGGCGGGGCGCGCGGGGCCGGGAGCGGCGCCGCCATGGACGCCTGGGTCCGCTTCAGCGCCCAGAGCCAGGCCCGGGATCGGCTGTGCAGGTGCGGGCGGGGGGCGGGGCGGGACCCGCAGACCCTCGTGCGGCGAAGTCAGTTCAGCTACGGGGGTCAGGAAGGGCCAACTCGGGCTTCGGGGGCCGCGCGGGCGCGAGGCTGCGGGAGCCGGCCGGGCGCTGATTCGTTTCTGCCCCCGGGAAAGATGGTGAAACTGAGGCACGAGAGGGCCAGCGGGGTTCGCTCAGGGCTGCCGCGTCCACGGGAGACCCGCACGGCCCTCGCTGGGCGGCGGTGCCGCGGGAGCGCTGGCCCCGGAGAGCGGTGGCGAGCGGCCGGACTCTGCCCCGAGCCGAGGACCGGTTCCAAGTCTCCCTGTCCCCTTCCCGCTGTCGCCGGGAACTCCGCCCCCGTCCTGCCTTCCGGTCTCAGCTCCGCTGCAGGCCTGGGAGCTTAGTTCACCTCCAAGGAAGAGGGTCTGCCCTGCGGGGTCCCCCAGCCCACCCTCCACGCACTGCCCGCTGTGCTGCCGGCCCCGCGTCTCTGCCCCCGGCGCTCAGCCCCCGCCCCGGCGCTCAGCCCCTGCCCCGCCACCCCGGCGCTCAGCCCCCCACCCCCCCACCCCGGCGCTCAGCCCCTGCCCCGCCACCCCGGCGCTCAGCCCCCCACCCCCCCGCCCCGGCGCTCAGCCCCTGCCCCGCCACCCCGGCGCTCAGCCCCCCACCCCCCCACCCCGGCGCTCAGCCCCCCACCCCCCCACCCCGGCGCTCAGCCCCCCACCCCCACCCCGACGCTCAGCCCCCCACCCCCCCACCCCGGCGCTCAGCCCGGTGGAGTCTCTGCATTTCTCAGCGCTGAGTGTGCTCCCGCCCGTCTGGGCTCCTCGGTACCCCGTGCTTGCCCCGCTCCGGGCCTGAAGGAGAAGCAGTGGGTGGTGGACGGAAGAGCAGGAAAGGGAGTGGCACTGCGGGAAGCCCATCCTGGCCTTAGGGGGCGCTTTCGCAGGGAGGTGCGGGAGGTCCCCGCCTCTGCTTGCCTGTCTCCCCCAGGGCCGCCCAGTACGCCTGCTCCCTTCTGGGCCACGCACTGCAGAAGCGCGGGGCCAGCCCTGAGCTGCAGAAGCAGATTCGACAGCTGGAAGGCCACCTGAGCCTGGGGAGAAAGCGTAAGTAGCTCTAGGCCCTGTGACCCCAACTCTCCCTCCACCCCAGCTCTTCCCTCTTCGTCCCTCCTTCCTGTTTCCCACCTCCTGCCAGTTCTTCCCCCTCGTTTGGCTTTGCATTCACCCCCTACATGCCTCCCATTGAGGTAAGACAACAGGAGGCTGAGTGTGATGAAGGACTGGAGAAATGGGCAAGTTTGAGAAAACGAAGCCGGGACACACATTAACTAAAATTTGAAGTAAAAAAAGAATGAACTGTTTCTGCTCTTTTAAAAAAGTATTTGTTTTTGTTTCTACCACTTGCTCAACTTTCACCCTCTTGCCTTTTCTCTTTCTCTGTTTTTGCTCTCGGCCTCTCTACTTCCAAACCTCTGCCTTTTCCTGCGGATCCCCACAAGTCCTCCGCCTGGGCAACTCGGCAGATGCCCTCGAGTCAGCCAAACGCGCTGTGCACCTGTCAGATGTTGTCCTGCGATTCTGCATCACGGTTAGTCACCTCAATCGAGCCTTGTACTTCGCCTGTGACAATGTCCTGTGGGCTGGGAAGTCTGGACTCGCTCCCCGTGTGGACCAGGAGAAGTGGGCCCAGCGTTCATTCAGGTTTGATGTGCTTTTATTCTACAAGACCTTTTGTATTCTTCATATCACATAACTTGCCTTTCATGAGGGAATGATCTCTCAGGGTCTTCCCAGAATGTGCACATCTTAATCACTCACCGGCTTCTAATCTTCACTTACATCTTAAACTGTCAGAGGATAAGGAATGGAGGAGGTAGAAGACAAATGCTCTTCCATAATGAATGACTAAGATTAGGAAAAATGTGATGTTACTTTAATTCTGCTTCTATCTATACCATAGGTCAGCAATTTTCAACCTTGTTCATCTCATGGCACACATAAACTAATTACTAAAATTCTATGGCACACCAAAAAAATACATTTTTTGCCCACCTGACAAAAAAGTAGGTTTAATAATTTTGATTCATTCACACCGGATTGCTATTGTGTTGGCTACTGTCATTTTTTTTACTTGACAAACTAAGGGAAAAGAGGTCAGTGCCCCTAGCTAAATAGTCAGGTATTGCATGTTTTAAAAATTCTAGTGGCACACCAATTGAAAACGGCTGCCATAGGTTACTCTCCTCACTACTTGCTCATGCAGTCATTCTATAAATATTTAGTAAGTGCTTACTGTGGTCCAGGGAATAAAGCAGAGAGTGAAACAGATATGATTCCTGCTCTGATGAAGCTTCTGGTCTAGAGGGATAATCATATGTTAAAACTAGAGGCCCGGTGCACGAATTCGTGCACAAATGGAGTCCGGAGGCCTGCCCCGATTGGGCCGGGCCGGCCGAGGGGAGGGGCTGTGGGCAGTTGGCAGACCAGCCCTGTCCCCTGATCGAACTCCCGGTCAAGGGGACAATTTTCATATTACCCTTTTATTATATAGGATAAATAAACACCAAACCGCCCTAACCGGTTTGGCTCAGTGGATAGAGCGTCAGACTGCGGACTGAAGGGTCCCGGGTTCGATTCCGGTCAAGGGCATGTACCTCGGTTGTGGGCACATCCCCAGTAGGGGGTGTGCAGGAGGCAGCTGATCAATGTTTCTCTCTCATTGATGTTTCTAACTCTCTATCCCTCTCCCTTCCTATCTGTAAAATATCAATAAAATATATAAAAAAATAAAATAAACACCAAACCAAGTGTATGAGGAAAAGTACAGGGTGTTATGAAATAAATAACACTAAGAATGAAAGATCAGGAAGGAGCCCTAGCTGCTTTGGCTCAATGGATAGAGCATCGGCCTGAGGACTGAAGGGTCCCAGGTTTGATTCTGGTCGAGGGCACATTGCCAGGGTTGTGGGGTCAATCCCCAGTGAGGGGTGTGCAGGAGGCAGCTGATCAATGATTCTTTCTCATCATTGCTGTTTCTATCTCTCTCCCTTTCCCTCCCTCTCTGAAATCAATAAAAATAAATGAATACAAAAGAAATATCAGGAAAGAACTCTTTGAGAAAAATAATATTTTAGGGTAAGACCTGAAGTTTGAGTAGAAGTTAGACAAAGCAAGCAGTAGCAGAGAACACCTTTTCAAACAGAAAATAGCATTTTCTAAGGCTTTGAACCAAGAAAGACTTTGGGGAATTAGAAAAATAGAAAGAAGGCCAGCGGAATGGACAGTATTGAGTAAAAGGCATACTTTCAAACTGGAGGGGTAGATTGGTCAGATCACTCATGAAAGACAATAATAAGATTTTTTTGGTTTAGTTTTTAGAAAATTTTTATCCTAGCCCAGGCTAGTGTGGCACAATTAGTTGGAGTGTCATCCCGTCCCGTACACCAGAAGATGGCGGGTTCGATTCCTGGTCAGGGCACATACCTAGGTTGTGGGTTTGATCCCTGGTCAGGGTGTGTGGCAGAGTCAATTGATCAATGTCTCTGTCTCTCTCTACCCTCCCTTCCTGTCTCTAAAATCAATTAAAAAATAAAAATCCTAAGTATAGTGGGTTCTAACTAGGGATATGACATGATTTAAATTGTGTTTAAAGAAGATTTCTCTGCTGCAGTGTGGAGAATGGATTGCAGTAGGGTAAAAGAGGAGAGTCCGTAATATGGCCAAGAGATCTGACTTGAACTAAAAAGCTCACAAGTAATGAAGGTGCAGAGAAACATGATTTCAGAATAAAATTATCTGTATACATATCATCTATATTTGTTTCTTATTATGCTATGATTCTCTGTTCTTTTAGATTATATTAGTTAGCATCTTTCTATCTCCATTTTTGTGTTATTTTTCCACATGGCATGCAGTGTATGAGGGCTGTGGACAGAGGCATGATTGAAGTAGTCTGGAAAAGCACCTACCTAGAAGAGTTTATATGCCATGTTTATTCATATCATTCAACAAATATTTATCAAGCTCTTACTATAAGCAGACACTGGTCTAGGTATAGGGACCCAGTGGTAAAGACAAGCAAGGCCCTGCTCCTATGGCGCTCACAGTGTAATGGGAGGAGACACACATAAAGAATAAATGAAAATACAGACAGTGATAAGTACCGTGCTGGAAATTGAAAGAGGGTCACGTGCTAGAAAGTAAATGGCTTGCTACTTTAGTATGGGGGGTCAGAGCAGGCCTCTCTGGAAAGGTGACATTTAAGCTCATACCCAAAGAGCCAGCTGTGAAGATTTTGGAGGCAGAATATTTCAGGTAGAAGGACCCAGTCGTGTAAAGATCCCAAAGCAGGAACAAGCTTGACGGGATCAAAAGAAACAAATGTGGGTGGAGCACTGATCGACAGAAAGAGTGGTGTAGTGTGGGGTTAGAGAGGCAGGTCAGATGTCAGGTCTGTAAGCCTGTCTAAGTTATCTAGATTTTATTCTAAGTGTGACAGGAAGGAAACCATGAAGATTTTTAAGAAGAGGAGTTTATGTTGGGGGCGAGGGGCAAGAGTGATCATGGAGAGACAGGTCAGAAGACGAAAGCAGTAGTGCAAGCAAGAGATGACAGTGGCTTGGACTGTGGAGATGGAGTGTAACAGAGGTGCTTACACTGAGGCTGTGTTTTGGAGATAGGACAATCATACAGAGTACAGACCACTGTTGTGAGAATGGATTCAAAATTAAAAATACACTGTTCTTAAGGAATTTATAATGTCACACATTTGGCAAGCTGCTTACCACCTCTGGGCCTCTTTTTTTGTTTTGTTAATCTTCACTGGAAGATACTTTTTCCTTTTAGAGAGAGTGGAAGGGAGGGGCGATGGGTAGAAAGGACAGAGAGAGAAACATCAATGGGAGAGAGCCACATCAATCGGTTGCCTCCCACACGCACCACAACAGGGGCAGGGAACCTGCAACCCAGGTATGTGCCCTTGGCCAGAATCGAACTTGAGACCCTGCAGTTCACAAGCTGATGCTTTAACCACGCTGGCCAGCACACCTCTTTTTTTTGTTTTGTTAAATAAAAGGATTGGATTTAAGTTATTTATAATTTAACTCTGAAGCAACTGAAGCTTATTCTTTTCAAACAAATTTCTGCCGGGCTGGTGTTGCTCAGTGGTTGACCATTGCTCTATGAACCAGGAGGTCACGGTTTGATTCCCGGTCAGGGGACATGCAGGAGGCAGCCAATCAGTGATTCTCTCTCATCATTGATGTTTCTATTCTTCTCTCCCTCTCCCTTCCTCTCTATGAAATAAAAAACATATTTATAAAAAAAAGTTTGTATTACTGTAGTTCAAGTTGAATGTGTGTGTGTTAATGTGTTGCCAAGTGGAAAAGTGAAAGTTGAGGTTGATCTTGGAAGATTTGATGATGCTCATGAACTTTAGCCCAGGTTCTTAAGGTAATTGTGAACATATTCGTTAGAGAAAGGTGGGAGGACATTTCTAATAGTGGGCACTAGTACACATCCACTTCTGGGTTCTGACGTTAATCCTTTGCATTTTGGCGGGAAAAAATGCTTGAGTGTTCTGTTGGCTGTACCAAGTGGGTACACGTGCCCTTACTGACCCTTCCGTCCTGTGTATCTCAGGTACTACCTGTTTTCTCTCATCATGAATTTGAGTCGGGATGCTTATGAGATTCGCCTACTGATGGAACAAGAGTCTTCAGTTTATAGCCGGCGACAGAAGGGTTCTGGAGGAGGAGCCCCAGAAGGAATTGAGACTGGGGGACCTGGGGATCCAGGGACTCCAGGAGGAGGCCTACCCCAAATAGCTCTGAAGCTTCAGCTCCGAGTCCTGCTCCTGGCTCGGGTCCTTCGGGGTAATCCCCCGCTTCTGCTGGATGTAGTCAGAAATGCCTGTGACCTCTTCATTCCGCTGGACAAACTAGGCCTCTGGCGCTGTGGCCCGGGAATTGTGGGGCTTTGTGGCCTCGTGTCCTCCATCCTGTCTATCCTCACCCTAATCTGCCCTTGGCTACGACTCAAGCCCTGATGTTCTGGTGCAGGATAAGGAGGGGACCTGACTTGGTAAGATGGAATCTTAGATTGTCCCCAGTGTCCCAGCCGCATCCTAACCCTACTCCTTCGTTAAAGTTAAAATCCAGAGATTTAGGGGTAAACCAGGGGTGGGGAACGTCTGGCCCGTGGGCCGTATAAGTCCCGCAAAATCATTTGGTCTGGCCCTGCCAAGGCATTAGGGGTGAGTTAATTAAATGTTTGACCAAATATATCAGGCTAATTTTTAAATTGATAATTTTATATGGCCCATGAAAGATGTTATAAATATCCAATGGCCCTTGGCAGAAAAATGGTTCCCCATCCCCGGGGTAGAGGGAGGAGCTTTGGGGAAGATGAGGTGAGGAAAGGTGACTTGTGTAGTCAGTAGGATGATTCCAGTGTTCAGATCTGCTGGAGCTTTTGTTCTTCTCCTCCTCCATTGCATTGTCTGTGTCTCTCTTGACTCTTGATTTTGTGTCTCTTAAATCTTAGATTCTGTCTCTGGTTTTTTTTCCCTTCACAGTCCCCTGTCCTAGGAATTTAATCAGCAGCAAAATGAGTTTTTGGTCGGGGAGAAGGTGTGTTCTGTAAGATTCTAATTGCCTTCTTTTTCCTCACAGAGGTGGCTTGTGGCAGATTTTACCCCCTTCAGACTCCAGACTATAATTTTAAAGATTTATGTCCCAGTGGACTCTTCCCTCATGCCCCAGAAGTGGTTCGCTGCTTCCTCTTCCTCCCTCATGGCTACCTCACCAACCTCGCTCATGACTTGGCCCTTACCCTTCCCTCTACTCACATCTGCAGATTTCGGCTTACACTTCGACTTCAGGGCTTCGTTCGCAGCCTGTTCTTACCCCTTCTCTGCCAACCCAGAATGATGCTGTGTCTAACATCTTGCTGTAAATATTGTACAATGATTCTGTGTAAATAGTTAGGGCCCCGCCCACAATGGAGAGCACGCCTTCTAGGCCAGCCAATTAAAGATCATTTTGCTCATTGATGTTTGGTCTGGTCCTGTGTGTTGTCATCGGAAGCCCCTATTTCTGTCACTGTGGTTTGGATTTTTCATGGGATTAGCCACTGCATCATCACCCACAGACTTCTGTTGAGACCTAAACTCTACAGGGCATCGTACTAGGTGGTAGAGATACAAAAAGCTTAACTCCTCGGTCCCAGCGTCAGATGTTTGTAGCCTACTTGAGAAGATGAGAATCTAATGTTAAAGTGATTATACAAGTTCCACAAAGCACATCCACCCCAGTTCAGTTTATGGTCCCTCCAGAAGCTATAGTGCCACAGGCAGCAGAAGCAAGTCCAAACAGAACCAAGTTGTTTGGCTTCGTCTGTGGGCCGGTTGTACCTTCACATATTGGGACTCCCCTAGGTGGTTAGGTCAATAAAACCACTGTTATCAGTTCTTTATTTTTTAGATCTCAGGTTGAGGTGAATACGGTTAGGAAGTAAAAAGTGTCTGTCTCCCACTCTGTTTATTCCAAATTCAAAGAAAGCGTTATTGTCTGGAAACAACAAAGGACAGGAAAAAGGAGAAGGAAACAGCGGAGAGTCCAGAGTTGTGTTCCCTTTGGATTCTGAGATGACGCCTCCAGGGGGCAGCACCAAGGCAGAGAACTAGACTAAGATCACTCAGTCCTGTCCTCTGTCTGGGGCTCCCCACAGGTCCCCACCATCACTCCTCCCATTCCTCCCAACTTTATTTTTAGCTGGCAGTGGGAGGGGGCAGGATGGGAGGGAAACTAACGAAAACAGAAGAGGAGAGGGACAGAGGCACAGAGGACTTCTCACGCGGCCAGAACAGCCAGGCATGGAGCTGCCTCTCATCCCTCACCTGTTCTTGTCCCTGATGGTCCTGACAGGTGAGGGAGGTTAACTTCTTGGTTTCTGATGGGAAAAGAGGATAGTGGATTGTTTGGCATTGGGACTTTAGGGTTAAAATTATTTGGGAATTAGGGTGAAAGATTAACACTGATTCTCCATTGCTAGTGTGTCTGTATGTCTGTGTGTGGGCGCGTGTGTGTGTGTTTGCACGTTTGCATTCTTATGCCCACAGCATATGACCGAATTAGTATTGAGATTGTCAGAGCCTGTGTCAGGTTTGTGATCCAATTATCTAAAACCTGTGTCCTCCGTTCTGGAGAAGTTAGGGGACCACAAAGAAACAGGATGTGACCTTCCACGTGGCCACTCTGATTCCTATTCCCCCCTCCCTTCCTCTCCCTACCCTTGGTGGTCTCTGGAGCCTGAGGCATAGCTGACTAACCATGTAGTCAGAACTCTGGGTTTATCTAACCAACGAGCTGCAGTTCCTAGTCATACAACCCTGGCATTTTCCTGGGTGCAAAAAGGCTCACATACAAACCACCTTTTTGAAAATGAGCATGGTTTGAGGCAGAGTTATCGCCATTGGTGGGAGTGGGTGGTCTAAGAGGGGGTGGCTTGAAAGGAAGGAGCAAGACACAGGGAAAGAACCATGGGAGAGACCAGAAGCTGGAATGTTTCCTCACCAGTGCCCTGTAATCTTCGTTTCCTAAAATACCAGCTCTGATTTTAAAGGGATGGGAGGGAAGAATCAGCCAGGACTTGATTGGGGGCGGGGGTCTTTAGAGTGGGTCAACAGCTAAGGAAGAAATGTGGAGGGCAGTGGGGAGGGTGGGTACATTTAGAAAGGAAGCTGGTGGTTGTGGGAAACTTTAGGGCGAAGGGACCCTTGCTAGGATGAATGGCAAACCATGTGTGTGGGCAGGCGAGGGGCCCCACCCAGTTAATTGCCACTGAGGTTTTCAGGGCTGGAATCACCCAGAGCCCTAGACGTTGGAGAATGAGAGTGAGCGCGTAACAATGACACTGGGAGTCTAGAGCGAGAGAGGAGAGACCCAGACATTCAGTGTTCCCTCGTCTCCTGTTCTCCCCATGGTCCTGGTTTTGGGGAGAGTTTGAAAGGCATGGTTGTTCTGGGGCTACAGACAGTCTCTCTCCCTCTTTTAACCCTCCGCTTGGGGAGGAGGATGTGTAGGAGGAGTGATGTGGAAAAGAGGAACTTGACCCAGGCTTGTCTGTAAATTAGATTTCAGGGGTTGGATGGAAATACTAGCATGGCAGAGGGCCACAGGTTAGACAGCTGGACACAGATACAGGAAGGAGATCATCCTTGCCTGGAGCTCTGAGTCCATGACATTGACAGAGGCCAGGCAGCTTATGAGTAACTAGAGACCCGATACATGAAATTCATGCAAGAGTAGGCCTTCCTTCCCCCAGCTGCTGGCACCGGCTTCCCTCTGGCACCCGGGACCTGGGCTTCCCTCGCAGCCCCGGCCTTGTCCGGAAGGTTGTCTGGTCTAATTAGCATATTACGCTTTTATTATTATAGATAAGCAGAGAAATATAGCAAAGCATGTCCTTCACAGCCTCTCTCTGGGCATTCACTAGCCTCTCTACCTGCTGCCTGCTAACCTTATGATCCCGGCCCCCCAGGTCTCTGCTCCCCCTTCAACCTGGATGTGCATCACCCACGTCTGTTCCCAGGGCCACCTGAGGCTGAATTTGGATACAGTGTCTTACAACATGTTGGGGGTGGACAGCGATGGTGAGGAGGAAGCCAGAGGGCCATGAGACAGGGGCTGTGATGACGCTGTAAAGGGGTTGAGGCAGATGGGAATCTAAAGGAATCGGGAAGTGGGTGGGCTCTAGATTTGCCAGCCCATGCACTTACCCTCTGGCCTATCTCTCTCTCTTTTTTTTTTTGTATGGCCTATCTCAAAGGTCATGGTTACACTGTGCTTATATTCATGCCCTCCCCCAGGATCCTGGTGGGTGCCCCCTGGGATGGGCCTTCTGGTGACCGAAGGGGAGACATTTACCGCTGCCCCATAGGGAGATCCCACAATGCCTCATGTGTCAAGGTCCACTTGGGTAAGATGCCTCACTCTTCTACTCCTAACCCCTAACCTTCATACGCTAGTAACTTTGACCCCTTATACCTCACCTTCACCCCCATATCCCACATGCTCCCTGTCCCCGACTTGACCCTGATCTCTTCTCAAACCCAAAATCATCCTGAACTCAAGCACCCCATCTGGGACCTCATGATCTCATTCTCTTCTAACCCCCTCCCACCAGGTGACTACCCACTGGGAAATTCATCTCGTCCTGCTGTGAACATGCACTTGGGGATGTCTCTGCTGGAGACAGATGGTGACGGGGGATTCATGGTGAGCTAAGGAAAGGGTGTGGCTGGGTCTCAGGGTTTGTGGCAGAGAAAGAGCAGTATGGTGCGGGAAGCTGGTCTATGCAGAAGGTCAAGGAGTTAAAAACCCTAGAAAGTAGAGAGGAATCTCCGTGCCTCCTCCTCGGCACATGTTCTGCGGGCGCCTCCCAACCTGGGAGTAACTGTGTCTCCCACCTGCCCCCAGGCCTGTGCCCCGCTCTGGTCTCGTGCTTGCGGTTCCTCTGTCTTCAGTTCTGGAATCTGTGCCCATGTAGACGCCTCATTCCGGCCCCGGGGAAGCCTGGCACCCACTGCACAGCGTAAGCCAGAAGGAGGGCTGAGGTTCAGCCCTCAGCACGGGGTGCAGGGTGGGAAAAGGATGGGGCGTCAGGGTCTGATGGGCCTGCCTGGCTGTCCTCACTGCTACCTAATGTGTCTGCATAAGCGCCGTGCTCCCTAACAGGTTAGAATTCAGACTCCACCAGGGCGCTAAGACGCCATGAACTGATCAAAGCAACTTCAAAAACTCAGCTCTCGCTGTATCCCTCCACGCCCTTGGCTACAGCATTTACCTCACCATTCTCCAATGTGTCATCCACTTTTATACCTCCAGCTCCTTTTGCTTAAAGAGTTCTCAATCCAAAGGCCTTTTCTTGTATTCTCCTCTCCTCGAACATCTTCAGTCTCAGTATCGGCTCAGTTCCTGCCTCCTTTGATTCCCCACCATCAGGGCTATGTTTTCACCTGGCATGCAATTATTATTATTATTATTATTATTATTATTATTATTATTATTATATGCTTATACTAGGGGCCCAGTGCATGAATTTGTGCACCTTGAAAGGAACTGTGGGCTGTGAGGCTGTGGTGGTCACAGGGCAAGTCTCGGCCAATCCTCCGCGCCTCCACCTGCCCCCTCCCGCTGTCGCCCTGGTCCCTTGTTTGCCAGCAGCCCCGCTCCCACTGCTGCTCGCCCACGCACTGATGGCACTGGCCCTGCTCGCACCTGCTGGCAGCATGGAGCAATTGGGACCTGTGCCAGGAGCGGGTGTGAGCAGGGCCAGTACTGTCGGCAGGTGTGAGCGGTGGCTGCTGCCCCGATCGCCCCTCAGGAGCAGGGGGAGGTAGAGAAGCCTCAGGGGCGATAGCACCAGCCATGGGTGTGTGTGAGTGGAGCCAGCGCCAGGCACTGGCAGTGGGTGCGAGCATTGGGGGGAACCACGGCACACGGGAGCAAAGAATTTTCAGTAACCACCAGAGGCTTGCCCCAGTGACAACGACCAGTGCCCTGCCTTGGTCTGACACCCCCGCTCACCTGCTCCACCATCCTGCTGCGGCCATCGCCCGCCATGTTCCACATGCGCCCCCTGGTGGTCAGTGCATGTCATAGCAACTGGTTGTTCGGTTGTTCTATCATTTGGTCTATTTGCATATTAGGGTTTTATATTTAGATATATATATATATCTTGATTTCAGAAAGAGGAAGGGAGAGGGAGAGATAGAAACATCAATGATGAGAGAAAATCATCAATTGGCCACCTCCTGCATGCCCCCTACTGGGGATCGAGCCCACAACTGGGGCATGTGCCCTGAACAGGAATTGAACTGAACCACAACCTCCTGGTTCATGGGTCATTGCTCAACCACTGAGCAACACTGGCCAGGCTTTTTTTTTTTTTTTTTTTTTTAGTATATTGCATGTATGCCCATCTCTCCTTTTATTCATTTCTACATTTACCCAGGGCCTGGCATACTACCTTCCTTGTATGACAGAAGTG